TCTTAGGGAGCCAGATGTTTAGTTAAATCTCTGCTGGTCTCTATTCCCAGACTAACTTGCTTCTTTTGGGACTTGAGATCTATAGTGACTTAGATCATAGGTCAGGGGCTCAGCTTGTCATTAGAGGGAGATAGGCACCTGGAAGAAGGCTGGGTGAGCTCAGGGATGATCCAGTCCCAGGGCAGAGAGCTGGGCACCATAGATCTGGGCTATGTGGATAAGATCCTTTCTAGCCTGTAGACTTGAACTCTAAGGATGAGGCCAGGCAGCCCAAATAAAAAAAAGAGATTTTGATTCTCATGATTTTTCTGCTAGACAGGGCAGGGAGAAAGGGATTATCTCAGATATCGTTAATACAGATACAAAAATTTATATGCCTGGAATTGCTCTTTGCTTATTTCTGTGGTGCCTAGACAGACAAATGCAGGACTCTGAATCCTAACTGCCAGAGTTTATCCCTCTTAGAATAGGACTTTACCCAAGTTAAACCACTAACCTAACCCATGGGATTATTGCATGAAGTAAAGAAACATTTATTTGCATTTTGCCACCAAGTTGATGGCTTATTCTCCCCCCTGCACCCCTGCCATGGAAAAGCCTGAAAAGTGGGTATTGGTGTCTTTATCCTGGCCTGGTCATTCTCTGAGTGGATGGCAATGTCTTTCTCCTGCACTGTGTTCAGGCTGCCACCAACAGCCTGCTAATTCATCTTAGAATACACTACCTCTGACAACCATCTCCTCCTGTTGCATGCTCCACTGCTACCTCCTGTTAGGGGCCCTCATTCCCTTAGGCCAAAACTGTCACAACTGCTTCCCAAATGGCTTCTATCTTTCACACACTTGTCAGATCAACATTGCTAAAATGACTTTGTCACATACCTGCTCAATGACTTTAGTGGCTCCTAGAGGCTCAAGACTAAAGCTTGTGGTATGTGGCACTCCACCATACATCCCAATTGGATCTTTTAGATCTCCTCCCATCAGGCATCTTCTACTTGTGTCCTTGGTTCCTCTCAACTGCTGGAAGTTCCTCAGTCCTTCCTTTCCACAGCAGCCTTGCATGTAGCTTCCATGCCTGGAATGTTCTCTTGCCCAGTCAAATTTACTCATGCCTCTAGGTCTGGAGTGAATCCCACCTCTTGTGAACAATAGGTTTCCCCTAGACAGCTATCCTGAAATCCAGTGGCAGTGGTTCTTCCCTCCTCTCACTGGGGCCCAGTGTGCCCTTGGGTTGTTCCCTCTCTTTACACAGGGGCATGGCTAACTCCATCTCTAAATGCTTCCCTGGCAGAGATACCCCAGCTCTATTTCTATAACCTTTGGCACAGTTCTGTGGACTGAGAGGGTGTTCAATAAGTTTGTTCTGGCTGACTGATGGTGAATGCCCCAGGTCAGGCTGCTATTCCATGGTGGGGGGCATCTCTATTTTGCCAGCTCTGTGGTTCTAGTGTGTCTTAGCGGGTTGGTGGGGTGTCATCTTTTCATTCCTGATTGTCTTCCATCTTTAGGTCAAGGGAACTTCCAGACTTCTTCTACAAAAAGAAAGCCGGGGGGGGGGCGGGAAGGGTGGAGATGAGATTCTGGTCTACATGTGGGTGGCTACTCGGTGCCTCCTGAACTGTTCTTGCTCTCCAAAGAATCTTCTCCACAAGAAAAGAGAGGGGAGAAAGATACTAAAAGTCAGGTGTTGCCTGCATGCTGGCACACTCCTTTAATCCTAGTGCTGGTGAAGCAGAGGCAGGTGGGATCTCTGTGAGATTGTGGCCAGCCTGAGGTTACATAGTGACTTCCAGGCCAACTGAGGCTACAGGGAGGGAGATCCTGTATCAAAAGGCAAAAAAAAAAACAAAACAGAATGAAGGTCAGGGGTTGTCTCTCCCTCCTTCTGCACATTCTGACTGCTGGGTCTATGCTGGGAGAGGTTGGCCCCTGTGTGAACACAGGTGTAGCTAGGTGGGGCCCATGAAGGCTGAGCAAAAGATGCAGGTATGTCAGGGTATGTGAAAGCCTGTTACCTCCTGTCTCACTTCCTGAAGGACGTATTCCTTCCCCCATGACTCTCTCTTGCAAAGTCTGTTCCCATCTTCTAGAAAGTGGTCTCTGGCTTCTCTTGAACCCGTGCTGCTTTTTAGTATCTGCTTCTCATTATATTTAGATCTTATGGCTTCATTCTCATTCTGGATCCAGGAGGGAAATGCTGTCAGGCAATCTGCTAGCTGATTCGTTAGTTGGTTTTTTAAAAAAAATCTCCATTTTATATATGAGAAAACTGAGGTTCAGAGAGATTAAACTGCCCTCTGCCTAATAAATGCTCCTCAGCAGATCCTGGTGCATGGACAATGACCTATTCAAGAGCAGCTTAGGTTGGAGGTTGGCAAAGGGTGGTAGATCTTTGTGTAGATAGGAGGAAAGTGGGTTCAAGGTTAGTATGCCCTATAGCTTTGACCAGCTGAATGGTGGTTGTAGTGAATACCATCCATTGTTCTTGTGAGGGCTGGGTGGTCCTGAGTCCCTGAAGCATCTCAGTCATTCACCTCCTGCTATCAGAATCCCATCCCTGTTCCCATGGGAACTCAGTGGAGGACATTGCTGGCTGTCTAGTACTGCTCTCTCAACACCCTTAACTCTCCTCTCTCTCTCTCTCTGTCTGTCTCTCTCTCTCTCTCTCTCCCTGAAGCTCCTGTTTCAAAACCTTTTCCTCCTTGTACTCAGCTGGAGCTAAAAGGTGAAATGTGCACATTTGGTCTGGGTAAGGGGGAGATGTGTTCAAGAGTCATTTTAGAGCATCCAGGGTATCCTTGAAGGAGAAGAGGCCTTCATGGGATCCAAGTGAGTTGAGATGGGCAGTATTTGCGCCATTAGAAAGTCCTGGAAGTAGGTAGGGGAGGGAAAAAGGTTTTATTTATTTGGTGGCCAGGCTCTAACCTCTGGCCTCTGGTCTAAGATTCCCTGGAAGTCTAATGCATATTGCTTTTCATCTTTTAACCTACAACTTTCCTGAAGCCAGGAAAATTCTCCAGTTTTTGGAGAGAACCTAGGAGACATTGTGAGGTGTGAAATCATTTCTGAGAACAGAAGAGGCCAGAGGAGAGACAGAGGAGCCAGGCCCCAGTGGCTTAGTGGCCAGTCAGGGAAAACCTCCCTTTGCTAGATCCTCCACTCTCAGCTATCGCAGCCTCGTTTTCTAACACACAGTCACTGGCCTATGGAGAGGACTCTGGAGTCCCTAGACCGATTGTCTCTTGATAGACCAGATGTAAAAAACGTAGAAGGAAACGCATATTCTGCAATTCTAAGGCTGGGAGAAGTCGGGTTCCCGCCTAAATCTACAAGATGGAAGTTGCTCCCTCTAGCTTTTCCACTAGCTAAGACTGCTAGTTTTGTGAGTGACCCCTCCCTTCGCACCAAAAAGATTTCTTTCATTTTCTCTATTCCACAGTCTTGGTGTTTAACGTTGTATTTTAAAAGGCACTCCCAAATACAGCTTGGATGCTGCCCAGATCTGTTTTTCGGCAAAGCGGAAAGTTTAGGAGGCCCTATGCATACCTGGTCCTAGCACCCTGCGTGCGGCGCAGCATGCAAGGCGTTTGTGTGAGAAAGCTCAGGGACTTTGAGCAGCAGAGTGCTTGTCAAAAAGGAGCGTGGAACTAGGATGCCCGATGTGCGTGGGTGTGTGCGCTCGTGAGCGCCGCGGCGTGTGCACCGCGAGTCTACCGCCCCGCCAGCTCTTGCAGGAACATCACTAACCTCACTTCTCCTTCAACCTTTTCCCAGCCAGACGCTTCCTTTTCCGTGCTTCTAAGGGCGTTTATTGTCAATTCCGTGACTAAAACACGCCGTGAGCCCGGCCCACAGACAGATGGATCGATCGCCCCCTTTCAGTCTGAGGGAGGGGTCCCCACCCGCAGCCTCGGGAGCTGCCAGCTTCTGGGGACCAGCTCCGGGAGCCCAGGATCTACGTGTGCGGGGCGGGGTGGGGGAGCGGAAGCAACTCTCGGGTGGGTCTTGGGAGCGCTCCGGCCGGGTGGGGTGCGAATCCCACTTGAGCCTTCCCGCACGGTTTCCGCAGGTTCGCTGGAGGAGGCCGTTGCGACGCTCAGACTGGACAACCTTGTCTGGATCCGGGGATGGAGAGAGCCACTGGGGAAGGGGCGTCTGGAAGGGCTGTGAGGCTGGGCGCGTCGGTACCAGCGAGGTTCGCGCGTGCGGGGAAAGTTCTAGAGCTCTGCTTGAGGGTCTCGAGCTCCTCAAGCAGAGCTCACGTGTATAGGTGCGCCGGACTAGACTGGGGCAGGCCAGCTGCTCTGGAGCTCAGAGGGCTGGCGCTGCGGGCGTCTTGGGTTTCCCTGCGCCATCCGCCAGCCGGGCGAAGCTCAGATACGTTCCCCAAGAGGGGCACATCAGTCCGCCGAGAGTGGCGTCCGCTCCCAGACCCGCACCGCTAGGCCTGGGTTTTTCTACTGCCCTGCCCCCTACGCCTCCGCGATGGCTCCAGCACCTGGGTTGCCCCGTCCCCGGCCTCCCCAGGCTCCCGAGACCCCGCGGTCCCTGGGCAGGGACAGTGGCACTTGGAGGGCGCAGCCCCAGCACGGAGAGGACAAGGCGTTGGGGGCGGGGGGCTGGCGGCAGAGCGTTGGCTTCCGAGGCATTGGAGGTTTGAGCTGGAACAGTAGCCCCGGGATCCGGTTCGTTTCCAGCCAAGGCAGCAGGCAGGTCCGAGGAACTGCAGACTGCTGAGCCGAGGGAGCCAGCGATCCGGCTCACCCCTCGGCACGCGATCCCGGCGCCACTGCCGTATCGTCGCCGCCGCGGCTGCTGCAGAGCGTCGCTGCTCTGCCGCGCTCGGGGCCGCCTGCCGCCCGGGAGCCGGAGCGTCGAGCCCCGGGCGGAGGAGAGGGGCGCGGGCGCGAGAAGGAGCCGCGGCGAGGGAGCAGCGGAGGGGAGGGGGCGGGCGGAGGGAGGAGCAGGGAGAGAGGGAGGAGAAAGGGAGAAGGGGAGAGCGAGAGAGCGAGAGAGAGCGAGGGAGAGCCGGAGAGATCGGGAGCAAAGAGCTAGAGCGAAGGAGAAGAGAGAGAAGGAGGGAGAAGAGGAAAGAGCCGCCAGCCAGCAGAGACTCCCGGGCGCTGGAATTCCATTAGAAAAAAGTGAGCAGAGCCTGGGTTAGCGGGAGATTTTTTTGAAAAAAAAAATTTTTTTTTTGAATCTTTTCCTCCTCTTGATACCAAAGAAGCGACTCCCATCTCAGCTCCTCGAAGCTCCGACCGGATTGCTCCAGGGCGCTCACCCAGTCGTGGATCTCTTTCCTATTTGCTTTGATTCTGACCCCATCCCTCGCCTCTTCCTTCCAGCTCTACACTCTCAGAACGTCTCGCCCCCACTCCCGAGTCCCCTCCTGGGAAGCGCAGGGGAATTGGACCCGCGGGGACTCGCGCTTTCCCGGAGGAGCGGAGGGCAGGGCTGACCTCAGGACCGGGCTGCTGGCTAATAAGGTAGCCAGACACATAGGTACGCGTGCTTGATTTCAGTGGCAAGGGGGACGTCGAGAGGCAGCCCACCGCCCGCCTCCCACCCCACCCCCTCCAGCCAGCGGCGAGAATCGCAGGACTCTGGACCTTTATCCGGCGGATCAGCGGAATCTCCGCATTGGATTTGGGGATCCTTATCACTGCTTGGCTATTATTATTATTATCGCTGTTATTTTATTTCATTTTTTTTAACCCAAAGGAGAAAGACTTAAAAAAAAAAAAAAACCTGTGGGATTTATTTAACATGATCTTGGCAAACGCCTTCTGCCTCTTCTTCTTTTTAGGTGAGTACCAGCGGGCGGCGAGCCTGGGGGCCACGCGGGACCGCGCGCTCGGGCACTAGCTGGAAGCTGGGCACGCGGGGGAGGGGGGCGCGGGGCGCGGGCGACGCCGGGGGAGCGCCGGGCGCTGCGATTTTGGCCCGGGCTCCCGGGAAGCGAACAGCCAGGGCGGCATGGACGCGGGAGGAGGGAGCCGCGCTGTGACTGACTGGTTGCGCGGGGATCGGAAAGACTTACAACATTTAAACCACACACCACACACACACACACACACACACACACACACACACACACACACACACACACACACACACACGCACACGCACGCACGCAGGCACACACACGCTTACTCTCACGACGTGAGAGCACTCATTTTCCTCAAAATAATGGGTTCAAATTGCAGCAACTTATGAAAAAATAAATGCAACTCTTGATGTGGAAGAGAGGGAGTGGAGAAGCTGGTGGCGGGAAGCTTTCATGCCTTGTTCCTCCTTTCGCGGATCGATCTCAGAGTCGGTCGCCTTAGACCCACGTTTTCCGCAGGAGCTCTTGGTTTGGATATTTTCGGGGAGCCCTTGCAGTCACCTCCTACCTGCCAATCATCCTCGGGAAAGCATCCAATTTCCCCGCTCCCGGGAACACTTTGCAAGTTTCTTCCTACCCTTTGCTTCCCCTTCTACCTAGGCTTAAGCCAGATGGGTGGGTGGGAATGGATGGGCTTGCGAATGGGTGTTCTAGGCTTTTATCTGTTGACCCTGGGGCTAGTGGGTGGGGGAAAAGGATGGAGTCTGGAGGCCAAAGTTTGCTGAAGAAGGTGGAGTTGGGGTTAGGGGGGAAAGAGGCACAGGGATCTGAACAAAGCCCACTGCTCATTCTGTACCCCCCTGGCTCTGTAGCTGAGGAGTGGCTGCCCTGTGCTTTGCCACTCCAGCAGGCCTCCTCCTCCTCTTATGCTATGTAAAATCTCAGCTGCTTGGGAAGCAGGGGTCTAGAGATAGTGATTTCCTTGAACAGGTGAGGAAAAGATGTTTGCAAGGCTGTGTGTGTGGACCAGGAATTCCGCCAAGGCTGCTGCCAGGGAGTTGGTGTCCTGTGAGGTGCTGGGAAATGTGTGTGTGTGTGTGTGTGTGTGTGTGTGTGTGTAAAGAGAACACATCTGCTTCAGTGTAGGTGCTGTTCTAGTCAACATAGCTTGCTGGTTGTCAGGCAGGGTCAGCTGATCACCCTTGACTTCCAGCAGAAAGGGCTCTGGGATAGGCCAGATGGGGAGGTAGACTTTGCTTACCGATGTGTATGGTCTAAGAAGTGCCCTCTAGACTGGGCCAGGGGATTTGTAATCAGTGAGAGCCAGTGTTGGCTGGATCCTGGGCCTTTGCCTGCCTACAGTCTTTCTACCTCCCAGGTATGCATTCCCCTGGGCCCTGGCCCTGCCCTGGGGTGTGGCTTTTGCCATACAAGTCTCCCTAAGCCTGTGGAAGTATCCCTGTGGGCTGAGGGGCAGAGCAGGAGACTGGGAGGTGCTCTGGGCCCACTTCCATCCTGTAGCTGTTTCCAGGAGCCTTGGGGATGTGGACTCTCATTCTGAATGGACTGTCACAAAATCTGACCTTTTCTTCCATTGCTGGTCAGAAAACAGCTTTCTGGGGCTTAGAATGACCAGAGCCAACAAGAAAAGAAAATTATATTTCAGGCAAAAGCAGCCAGATTGCCTACTGCTGTTGAATTGCACCCCACCCTCCTCACGTCTGCATGCTCCCAGGTGTAGGGGTGCCTTCTGAGGGCCAGGGGTGGGGGGACAGCAGCCCCCTCCAGAACCAGACTCCAAGTTGCAGATGGTCCTAGCAGAGGAGGGTAAGGAGTCAGTTCTCCTTCCCAGAAGTGGCATTGGTGTGTGTGTGTGTGTGTGTGTGTGTGTGTGTGGTAGGTATAAGCAGAGAGCCTCAATACCACCCGTTTTCTGCTATCCAGGGACTGAGATGGGAAAAGGGAAGAACCCTTTTGATCACAACTCTTCTGTTCCCTATCCCTTAAGTCCCTATCCAAAGCTGGATGAAGGGCATACCTGAATGATGGGCCACAGGGTTCTGAAAGGCTCGAAAGGACAGGATGAAGTGGCAAGAAGGAAATTTAAACCCTAGGGTCTCTTTCCTGGCTAGAAGCCTATAGGAGCCTGTAGGTGGGGAATTGGTTGGAAAATCTGCTCAGGGTGGAGGTTTCTCAGGAGCTTGTGAGCTGGTTAGGGAGTTTTGGTTGGGACCTCAGTGAAGAGTGCTCCCAAGAACAAGGGCCTTCAAATGGACTTTCCAAAGATTCTGAGTGAGGTCTGGGGCCAGGACTGTGAGGGGTAGAGAGACCTTTATATCCCAACTGTCCAGACCTCCAGTGTTGGCATATAGGGGGAGAATGCATTAGGGAGAGTGATGGGGGTAGGGCTGGCAGAGGACCTAGTCACCAGTGATGTTCTAGCACACAGTCTGGCTTTGTAGGGGACACTGGATGCAGAGGGGCAGTCAGAGCTCTGTGTCATATCTTGGTTCTCCACCCCTATCTGTAGACACTGTGTCCTCTTGATGGATCCAAGTTTTCTCCCTTCAGTCTTTGGAGACAGTCTTCTGTCCTTTCCTCTTCTATGATTCTTGCCCATGAGCTCTGGGTTGCTGTGATTCCCTTTTCTGGCTGGGCTTGGTTTCTTCTGGGGGCTTTGAAGCTGAATCCAAGAGTCAGGGACAATTGAAAGGATGTTTTGGTCCTTTGCAGACTATATCCTTGCCCCACCATGGGTGCCAGTTAACAAGATGGGAAAACCCTTGATACTGGCATAGGAGCCAATGTAGGATTGTATAAGGTCATCCTGGGGGAGTCTGGGCTCCAGCTGCAACCCAGGCAGGGTGAGTCACCTTTTTGCTCCATTCTCTGGGGCTTCTATCCTGACTGTAAACCCATGTGAATTCTGAGCAAATAGAAGGCCCAGATGCTAGGAAGTCCCATTTTGAGTCCCTTTGGATAGTTCAGCCCTCAGCTCAGCTAGGTGGATGATGAACCTCCTACTGGGCCTTTGGGACAGAGTCAATGGAGAGCTGAGGGCTGACTGTCTGGGAGGAGGCGGGCCAGCAGGTGCAAGTTGGGGGCGTGGCTCAACTGTTCCTGGGTGGCCCAGAGGCACAGAAGTCCTGTATAAGGATATAGAAATCTGCTGAAGCCTAGAAAGAAAGATGCTACCTCAGCTTTTGTGGAGGATACATCTCCAGCCAGAGTCTGGGCAGACCTCCCACTCTGGCTGGTTTCTATCCCTGGTTTTCTCTCGGTGTGCCATATCCTTCAGCTCTTCATGTTCTGGGGCAGAGATGTAGTCAGTGAGAGAAGACATCTCTAGCTCTAGCTCCCCCACCTAGCACCTGTTCCTCTCCTTTGCTGTTTCCACTTGGGGTAGGCTTCCTGCCCAAGGCCCTCTGGGAGTGAGTCCTTTTCCCCAGGGGATTGGGGAGTGACAGGCTTGCTGTGTGTGGCTCTACCTGTAGGTGTCGCTGTCCCCCTGCAGTAGCTCCCCATGAGCGGGGCCTCCTAGGGAGAAGGCCTGAGAGTGCCAGCTCTGGGTAAGGAAGGATGGGGGACGGTGGATTCTGCGGTATTCTGAGGAATGGACTGACAGTCTAGGATTTTATTCTATTTTGGAGTGGGAAGGAGTGGAAGAAGCTTCCTAAATTCTTCTTTGCGTCTTGGAAAAGGCAGTCTTGGCTCTGACCTTGGTATTTGGCTTTTCTGGGGCAGGGTCTGGAGTGAGGGGTTTAGGAAGGACAGAGAGACAGGAAGATGTTGCCCATGTCTGAAGGAAACCATTTTGGGAGCTTGGCTTTGAAAGGGGCAGGCCAGCTTCTCTCTGCCCTTCATTTCCGGTCCTCTTGCCCTCCCTGCTGAGACACTGGGAGCAGCAGATAAGAAGGGTGGGCTGGTGGGTGCTCATTTGTTCAGTTTTTGGAGAAGCTATGCTCAGTCTGTAATGCAGGGCCTGAAGGAGGGGGGCGTTCTTTTCTTTTAGTAATTGATTTATTATTTTGCTTTGGAAGGAAGAAAAAATAGAGGGCAGAGGGTTTCAGAAGTGTAGGGAGGCAAGGAAGGAACAGAGGTGGGGGAGGAAAAACAGAGGTGGGGAGAGAGCACCAGGGAGCTCAAAAAGAAAAGGTGATGAGGTCTGTTGAGAGCAGATCCCTTGGGAGACAGGAAGCAGGGAAGCTGAGAGATGAAGGTGGGAGAGGCAAGTCCTGAGAGGGAAGGAGAGCAAGGGAGAGTGGAATTGCTCAAATGCCTTGCCTAATGCATTTTGTTTGGGGGCCAGGGTAGAACTTGACTGTGTAGGCGCTTTGCCAGGCTGGTGTGAAGTTGGCTGGTGTGGAGGAGGGGCGGGACCTGAAAGGGGTTTCTCCTTTCTCCTGGGCCTCCTGGACCACAGAGTTGGGCTTGTCTCTCTTGTCCTCCTAGAAAGGCTAGCAATTCAGAATAAGGAGACTTAGGTCCAGGAGGGGGCTTTTCTGCCTCCCTGTTGTAAGACTTCGAGTTGTCAACTCCCTTTCTTTGGACTTCAGTATCCCTGAATATGATGTTGGGGCTTGATTCTAGGGTCTGTATAAGGCCCAGACAGGTTCTGAAGGATGTCAATGGAGCAGTGGTTTGTAGGGGGCCATAGGGCAGTTGAAATGAGATGCCTCTGTGAAGGTCCCCCTTTTCCCTCCCTTAGCTCATGACATTCTCTCTGGCCTGCTGGCATCGTAACCTGCCTACGATTTTCAAAGGGGGTCTTCCTGGATTTACTGTGCTGTGCTCCACTGTCCAGGGTTGCGCTGAGATGAATGTAAGCCATGGCTCTAGGGGAGTGTTGGATTTGAGTTGGCCTTGATCTTGGGTTCCCAGAAGTTCCCAGAAAGGCCCAAGCCTCAAGCCTGCTTTGGGGTCGGAGACTGTGGTGGCCCTCATTCATGCTTGTCTTCCCTCCCCACCACCCAGACGAGACCCTCCGCTCTTTGGCCAGCCCTTCCTCCCCGCAGGGCCCCGAGCTCCACGGCTGGCGCCCTCCAGTGGACTGTGTTAGGGCCAATGAGCTGTGTGCGGCTGAATCCAACTGCAGCTCCAGGTACCGCACGCTTCGGCAGTGCCTGGCAGGCCGGGACCGCAACACCATGCTAGCCAACAAGGAGTGCCAGGCGGCCCTGGAGGTGCTGCAGGAAAGCCCGCTGTATGACTGCCGCTGCAAGCGGGGCATGAAGAAGGAGCTACAGTGTCTGCAGATCTACTGGAGCATTCACCTGGGGCTGACGGAGGGTAAGCCTGGGTGGGCCCCTAGGGATGGGTGAGGGGATGGGTTGAACCTAGGACTCAGGACAGAGGACTTGGTAAAAGGTGTGACTTCATCTGCTCTCTGCCCTATCCACCAAGAAAAGCTAGACTCCATAGAAACAGCTATTCTCTCAGCTGGAGAAAGGGAGATGACAGTGTGGAAGTGGGCTGGATGATGGGATTCAAGCAAGGGCAGTATGATGTGGTCTCTGAGAGAGGCAAGAGGCACTAGGTAGATGGAGAAGCTAGAACAGAGGAGGAGGCCTGGCAGGCATGCCAGACTCAGTGGTCGAGAGGCATCAGCTCTTACCACTCTTCTGGCCTGTCCCCTTGGGGCTGAGCCCAGAGCCTTTCTCCCTTCTTGTGCTCTCTGGACTCCATGGCTGACCTAGGCACTTCAAACTGTACTCAGAAGCTCAGGGTCTGGCATGAGCAACAGGTCTCATGTTTTTTGGCAAGCTTTCTCAAGCCTGCTCAAGGCAGAACCTGAGAACCTCTCCCCAGTGATACTTCTTTACTTCCTCACCCCTTCTCAGCCCAGACAGGGGTTTGGGGGGCTTGCATCTACTTTAGGACCATTGGGCACCTGGGCTGGATTACTCATTTATTAATTTAACAAGTATTTATTTTTATTATTTTTATTTTATGTGTGAGTGTATTGCTTGCATGTATATAAGTGTACCTGTGTTGTGCAATGCCCATGGAGGTCAGAAGAGGGCATCAGATCCCCTGGAACTGGAGTTACAAATGATTGTTAGCCACCATGTGAATGCTGGGAACCAAACCCAGGTCCTCTGCAAGAGCAACCAGTGCTTTTAACCATTGAGCCATTTCTCTAGCCCCTTGACAAGTATTTATTGGGAGCGTGTTGCTGCTAGGTGTTGTTGGATAGTCTTTGCTTTGATGGAGCTCATAGAATGGGGTGTCATACAGTAAGGGCACATCTGCCATTTGGTGGCAAAAGTGCTCTGATGGGATGGTCCAGAGCACAGTGGGGACACATTGAATATATATATCTAAGCCCTTGTTAAAAAAAATCTAAAGAGCCTTCCTGGAAGAGACAGTCTCTGGCCTGAGATGGAAGAGGGGTCACCTATCCCCGGTGAAGCGCATAGAAAGAGTGGACAGGTGGAGGGAGAAACATGTCAAGGTCAGGAATGAAAGTTGAATGTGTTTATAGAAATATGAGGGACTAGATGCGGTAGGGTTTGGAATGGAAGGGTCGGGGTAGGAGGAAGTAGAGAGCAGAGAGGAAGGAGACATGGTGGGCAGCAGGGAGCCGGAACACTTTTAATAGAGATTTTAAGGGAACTTACCTTACTTAAGAAGAATATTCATGTAGTTCCAGGGAAGATAGACACTTGTACAAATTGTGATCTAAGCCAGGAATAATGGTGGTGGGAACAGGACAGGGCAAGAACGGGGAAGAAGGATGAATGCTTCTTACAAGGTAGAATCAACAGGCTTTGGTAATTACTGCCTATTAGATGGGAAAAGGACAGAGTGGCCAAAAAGACTCCCAGCTTCCTGTCTTAGAAGACACATACCTGGGTACGTGGCTATTCAGAGGTGGTGGCAAGGGCTTTTTGAGTAGAAGAAGGCAGAGACATGGTGAGTATCTCTGGGAGCCCTGTCTCTAGTTGGTCATGACCTATAAACACACAGGCATGGAGCTCAGGGGAGAACATGGGTCTAGAGAGATTATGGAGTGAACATCAGCTTTAATGGAAGTTGGAGTTAAGATAGTGGGTACAATCACAGCATGAGGCCAGCAAAAGAGCCCCTGGGACCACTGGCATTAAAAGATGGATTGGAGAAGGGAACATGCACAGATGATTGAGAAGGCTCCAGGGAAGTGGGAGGACCATCAGGAAAGGAGAGAGAGAGAGAGAGAGAGAGAGAGAGAGAGAGAGAGAGAGAGAGAGAGAGAGAGAGCGCTCTCAACAGCTCACACAGTTCAGGTCAAGCAGGATAAGGACTGAAATACCCCTGCTGCCACTTGGGTAAGCCTCTTAGGCAGCTGCTGGGGCAGGACTCTAGTTGGGGAGTGGATGGAAGGCAGAGGGTTAGACATAATGAATATGATTAACTTTTTCCAGAATTTTTTTGAGAAAGGAAGAATGCAGGCACATTTTCTCTTTTAAAGATGGAGGAAGGTGGGACTGTCTAAATTCCAAAGGAGGATGGGAATGATGGAGATGCTGGGGGAAGAGGACAGGACAGTTCTCTATACATCGGTGCCTCTGGAGAGGGCAGGGGGTTAGTGCCTTAGGAGTTAGCCTAAGACCAGAGAAGACCTCCTTGCAGAGTACCAGAAGGGAAGGAGGTTCCAGTTGCAGGTGTGAATTCTGAAGAGAGAAGAGAGAGGGATTCCCAGAAGTTACCAAGATGGCTCAGATATGCTCTGAACTCAGGATCAGAAACTGCACACAATTGGTAACGATATTACTGCCATTAACAACATAGTAATCCATCGTTACGCAGCCTCTTCCCCTAGCAACTCCATTCTGAGAGCTAGAAGCACGAGGAGGGTAATGCTGTCCCAAGGCATGCACACTTTGCCATACATGACATGAGGATCTGTTTCTCCAACAGCCTGTCTCTAGCATACAAGTCACGAGCCTCCTGCCTCTGGAATGAAATAGTTGTGCCTTTTCTTTTCATATTGAGAGTTTTGGACAGTGGGCAGCTGGTAAAGAGGGCTTGCCAGGGCTGCACAGTGGACAGGAGAGGGGACAGGAGAACTGGATAGAAGTTCTAGGGGGGTGCTTGGACCTCTTAGCAGGAGCAGCCCTGTCACGCTCCTTTGGCATGGTCATGCCAGCATGCAGGAGGGTGTGATCAGATACAGGAGAAACGAGGCGGTTCTCTTTGGTGGCAGCAGTGAGCATGATGCTACATGTATTTAGTTGTCAGCATTGTGGAATCTTCAGGGCCCCTTTGGACTTGGGGTACCTCAGTGTACATAGCTGTCTCTGGGTCATACCTTGAGATGGTTTTTGAGTTCATGTACTCAAGGACCACCTGTTAAGTACCTATTGTATGCCTCAGGGAGTGCTGGCATGGCAGAAATTGCAGTCCTTATGCTCACCATGGGTTCCTTCCAGAAACACGTCCCAGATTGTCCCTTTCTGTAGAAACTTGCCTTTCTCTTCAGGAGGCTCCATCTTCTCCTAGGCTTCAGGGCCAGAGATTTTTCCACCTAGGGTCAACTGAGTTTAAGGAATCAGAACTGTAATATGTTACCCCTGTTTTTAGGGGAAGCTGAGGCAGGAGGGAGAATGGCTGCCCAGGGCACACAGCAAGCTCGTGGCCTAATTCAGCGTCCTTATACCATATCCAGGTTTCTTTCCACTGTGCGGGGGGTGATCCCATGACTGGGGGACTCTTTGCTCCTGTACTATCACTCCTGATATGCTACAGTAGGGCAGCCACCACTGACTGCCCCAAAAGTGGCTCTAAAATTCAGGGTCCCTGATCCTTAGACCATGAAGAGCAAAATCCTGTTCCATGTGCCTGTTCCTAGGATCTACATCCTGGATCTGACTTCAAGGGCTTGAGGTGTATCCAGCTGTTTGAACAAGCTAAAGGAGAGTAGAGTAGAAAGGATGGACCCCAGGTACCCTGTTAAGCAGTGGCATGGGCTACCCTAGACCCAGGCAGGTGGCTATGCATCCTATATTGAGGAGGATGAACCCAGTCCAGGGGGAACAGTCCTGAGGCAGCAGAGTCCTGACCACAGGGACTGTTGAAGAGCCACATGGTTTTAGTGACACTCTGACACTTTGGAGGGAGTGCCATAAAGTGAGCATTGTACTCTAGGGCCCCCCTGACCGGTACTCCTGCTTACCAGGCACTGACACTGTTACTTAATATCTTTGTGCCCTTTGCTCCTTGTCAGCACAATAGGGAAATAATGGTGTGTAGCTCACAGAACCATGAGGAAGAGAATGAGTTAGTGTGTTTAGAATAGTTTTGGGCTATGGGCATATAGGAAGTACAGTACAACCTTATTTTTATTCCAACAGCAATTCCTAGGCAATGATTCCATTGTTTGACCTTAATACACAGCAATGCCTGGGGGCTCCACCCTAGGAGCCTCCCAGGAGAGGGTTAGTTACATGGAGTGGAGAGCACTTAGATCATGAGGGTGGTGGATTCTAGTAGGGTACACAGTGTGTGTTCTGGGCACTGCCTGGCACAAGGTTTCCTATAAGTTAAAGTGCAGGGTAGAATCCTCCTCACCAGGAGGGAGTGTGCATCTTTCTTGTGCTTTGGAGGTTTTTGTTCTTTACTGGGAGTCTTCTGGGCTCAACAGCTGTGAACCAGGCCAGGGCTAATTGTATCTCCAATCCTGGTTCCTTGTGGTTTCTTGGGCTGGTTGAAGGCTCCTCCTGCAGGTCATTCCCAGTCCCCTCTTTTAAGATCATTCCTTACTGACGCTGTTCACCAGGGATCCCTGTAGGCAGGGGTGCGTGCCCGTGGCACTAGGCCCTGCTGGATAGGAAATCAATGCGTGAGGCTGTGGGTCACCCCCTGCCTGCCACGCCCTGTCACCGCACAGGCAGTCTGAGTGAGTTTGCATTGATTTCTCCTCACTGGTCAGGTCTCTTGAGGATATTTCCCTTCCTGCAAGGCATTGGCAGAGGCGGTGGGATTACTGATGAGGTGGTGGGGGTCTCTAGGGCAGCCTGGGGGCCATTTATCTCTTGTCATTCACCTGCTTTTCTACCACAAACTTCTGATGTCCTCTGAAGTCCTGAGGAGAATTTTGAGGTGAGAGGTGGTGGAGAAATTGGAGAAGTGTCTATGTGAGAGGCGGGGCCAGGCAGACAGGAGCAGAGGTTCAGGTCTTCCACCCAGAGACTTTCAGTCCTATCAGCTAGATTCTTCTGGCAACATTATGTGAGGCAAAGGGGGAAATCATAAGTGAATTGGACAGAGCCAGTATGGGTCTCCAAGAGACCAGAGTCTAGCCCTAGGTCTGTCACACGCTTTGATTTCCCAGAAGGGAGTTCCATGTTGCTGGGCTAGCTACACTAGAGTTCTCTTGTGAAGTAAGGAAGTTGTACAAACAATCATGGTAGAACCCCTGCCTTCAGATTCTCTGATTTGTGCTTGACCTTCTGAGGGCTATTCTTCTTTGTCCTTCTTTCCAAACCCCTTTGAAGAAAGTTGGTCATGCAGGACAGTAACATGAAGAGTGTCCTATCTGCTATAGTTGGCAAGAAATAACTTGTCCTTATGAAACACTGACTTTTTCATCTCTCACTTGCCTGCACAGCATTTTCCACTTTGGGAAGGGCCACCCTGCGTCTTACCACCTTGATTTCACGGGGTTCAGTGGGACTTTCTCTGGCAGCGTCGCTGCCTGTTGGGAGTGCTCTGCCTAAGAGGAACCCTTGTCTTATGCTTGTCTCTCTTCCAGGTGAGGAATTCTATGAAGCTTCACCCTACGAGCCCGTGACCTCACGCCTCTCTGACATCTTCAGGCTTGCTTCAATCTTCTCAGGTAAGTGGCTCTTGCTGGAGCTTACCCTGTTTCCCCCTCATCCCTGTGGTGTGGCCCAGGTAGCCCTGGGCTTGAATTTTGGGCATCCTGGACTTCTGTTAGTTCTGCTCTCTGTCTGCATGTTCATTACTAGTTTTGAGCCTTGGCTCCTGGCTTGTAGGATGCTGTCTTGGCCTCCCTACCTCAGCAGTTTTCTGAGGTGAGGCATTTGAGGACCTTGCTTGGTACCATGGCGGTCAAGGATGGTTCTTGAATGTAAAACCTGATGCCCCTCTCCTGTTTTGTCATCCATCTTACCCCTGCTTCTTCTTCCTACTTCCCTGTCTCTTTTGTTTGGGGTTTTCCTTAGCTGGGTACTTCTTTGTGCCTCAGTTTCCTCACTTGTGAAGTGGAGACAGTAAAAGCCCCTATCTGCGTGGGTTGGTTGTGAGGTCTAAATAAGTTGGTGGTTGGGGAAGCAGGGGAGATGCTGGAGGATTCTTGTGAGCCTTCTAGAAATGCTGGCCATGGTTATTGGTATAGATTAAGGCTTTTCCATCCCCAAACCCTTGAATCTAAAATGCTCCCAAATCCAAAATATTTTGAGTACTGAGATGATGCTATAGTGGAAAATTCTACACCTGACCTTATGTGATAGACCACAGTGTATTGAAATTATTATATAATCTTCCCTTCAGTCTGTATTGAGTGTGTGTGAAACATAAATGAATTTTGTGTTCAGGCCTCACTCATCTCTGTGATATCTCATTCTGTATATACAAATATCCCCAAATCTGCAGCAGTCTGAAATCCTGAGCACATCTGGTGTTGAGTGGTTCAGATAAGAGATACTCAGTTAAATTTGTGTCACCACTATCCAGTCTGTTCTGGTTTTCCCTCCATTACTTGAGCTGCTAGAGAGGCATCTGAGGGGGGAATTTCCTGCCCCTGGGTCATTCCCTACCCTGGCCTTTCTTGGGGAATTGTGCTCTAGCTTTGTCTGCTGGACCCACGCTTAAGAACTGAATGAGGACTGAAGAAAGGACTCATTTGACAAAGCACTTGCTTTGCAAGCTCAAGAACCTGAGTTCGATTCCCAGAACACGTACAAATACTAAGCATGAAAATGTAAGCTTGTAATCCCAGTGCTTCAGAAGGGAGACAGGAGGATCTCTGGGGCTTGCTGGGCTGCTGGCCTGAGCCCAATTGGTGAACTCCAGGTCAGTGCGAGACTCTATTTCAAAGGAGGTGGATGGCATTCTTGAGGGTGACACTCAAAGTTATTTATGGCCTCTACATGTACACATACCTGTACACACATTCATAAATGATTTAGAAAAAAAGGCCATGTAAGGGTTATGTTTTCTTTTTGGTGTTGCTCCCTCTGGTGTTTGAGTGGGCCTGGGGTCAGACATATCCCATCTTGGAAGTACTCAGGGAATGGCTGTCAACTCTTTCAGGATCAAGTGACCAGATGGAGCCTGTTCTCAGGGTCTCTGAGTATAGGGATCTGGCCTCCAGATTTAGAGACAGTTTTGCAGCAGACTTTGGAATCTTCTGAGGCTCCTCTTGCTCTGAACCTGGGTTTCTTAGTAGTAGCACTTTGGCCCTGGCAATGCCTTCTTGTGAGAAGAACCATCCTGTGTATGGTAGAATGTTTAGCATTATCCCTAAAGTTGTCTTCAGGTGAACTTACACATCCCCAAGGTGTGACAACCAGAAATGTCTCCAGACATTGCCAAATGTCTCCTGGAGAGTAGAGCCACTGAAGGTTGAGAAGCGCTCCAAACTGTGAGTCAGAAGGCTTTCTAGTGGCACTTTATCTCTAAGACAACATATCGTGATTAAAATTTGTCATTATCATCCTCCTAAGGGGGAAAATAATTGCTCCAAATTAGAGAAATTAAATACCAAGAAATAAAATTTGTGTCACAGGATTGAGTTTTGGATGACCAGCAGCTGCTGCAATATCTATTTTTCCCTACTTGAGGACTAATTATTACTACTGCGACATGATGCCTCCTCCCAACCCCCACTGAAGATATCTGCTCTTGATGATTATGAAGGAATGATATGTGTGTCCCTGATGGGAGACTCTGGTCCGTGTGTTGGTTGTGTTCTGTCTCTATAACAAATACTTGATATCACTGATTCACAGAGGAAAGGGTCACTCTGGCTTACAGGTTTTGAGGTTTTAGTCCTCGATTGCTTCATTTGCTGCTTGGGGGCCATCACAACACATTCTGATAGGGTGTGGGATGGAGCCAAATGGCTTACCTCATTTCTGGGAAGCAAAATAGAGGAAGAGACAGTTACAGGGATTCAATAATCTCCCTCCATGGCACATCCTCAGTTTTTGAAGTTTCTACTGTATCCCATAGTGCCAATCTGGGTCTTTCATACATAGGCCTTTGGGGCCATTTAAGGTGTAAACCGTAGAGCTAGGCATAGTAGAACATGCTGGTAATCTTAAAATTCAGGAGATAGAAGCAGGAGGATTGCTAGTTCAAGGCTGGCCTGGGCTACATAGTGAGTTTCAAGGAAGCCTAGGTTGACAGAGTGAGACCCTGTCTCAACAAAACAAAATAAAATATTCAAACTATTAAAGCCAGAGAGTGGCTATCTAAACAAGGCCTTGGGCCCTGGTGGTTGTTGGGGATGGTGAAAGTGGATGATGATCTCAAAGCTGGTCAGTTGCAGTGAGCACCTTGCCCTTGGCTCCCACTATCAGTAGTGCCCTAGCAGTAGTCTTGGGCTTAGAGCAGGCTCCCTTCTGGTCTACCTGTGGGTACAATTTTAGCTCCCTTATTAATCTTACCTATCCTATAAGGTTGGGTTAGACCATAGATTAACTGAAGTTCCTTGCAACTGATATTCTGAGTTTCACAGATTCTGCTTAGTTTGGAGTAGAAATCCTCCTTGGTTTAGTCATCTTGAGACAGTGTTCTTGGACTCAGGTATAGGATGAGGGTATTGTTGGCATCTGCCTGCTGTGGTGGGCACACCCTGTGGGCCTAAATGCATCCAGTGTGCCTGATACCTGTTGCTCAGGTAGCTGCTGATGACTTACAGTGTGGGCAGGTCCTGTTAGGTTTGCTTTGTGAATGCTGGAGCTCCAAGGACCTCACCTTAACCCAGGACCCTGTTGCTGACTGGACTCAACCCTTAAGAATCTTCCTAGTAGAAAACCTTTACACGATGGGCCCGACACTCTGTGGGACAAAGATGTTGACAAGACAAATGAGGAAATTACTTGATGTGCAGCTTACCAAGTGGCATCTTGAGATTCGGGCCTGGTACAGCTTTGGAAATCTGTGCTCTGGCCCATTACCCACCATGAGGGTTGGGCTTTGGGTGATTTGTTATGGTTTGGGTGTGAATGTTTCTCATAGGCTCATGTGTTTGAGCACTTGACCTCCAGCTGGTGGTATACTGTTTCAGGAGGCTGTGGAGCCTTTGGAGGTGGAGGAAGTGTGGCTGGTGGAGGTAGGTCACTAGGGCTGGGTCTTTTTATAGTCCAGCTTTGCTTCTAGTTTTACTGCTCAGACTCCTGCTCCATGCAGGAAACCTGTTACTGCAAGCTCCCACTGCCATGGACTAATCCACTCCAGCCTCTGTGCCTTTCCTGTCATGATGCACTGTATCCTCTCAAACTATGAGCCCAAACAAATCCTTCCTCCTTTAAGTGACTTCTTCAAGTTTTTGGTTACAATAACAAGAAAAGTAACTAAGACATGGTCCTGTTGACTTTCTTCCACTCAGAGCAGCCCTGAAATTGGGTCAATGGGCAGCTCTGTCTGGAGAGACTTGGCCACAGCAAGGGAGGGAAGGCCTGGGTCATTCTACTAGGAATCCACACAGGCCATTGTGGAGAGTTCGGCCAAAAGAAGGCAGGAACCAGAACCAGGAGGCCAGATTCCAGTGTAGTCTGTGCCATCTTCCATGGGGTTTTGGGCACATGGCTTCCCAGCTTCAGACCTCAAGCTTCTTTTCTGAAGGATTAAGACCTGAGCTAGAGCTCCCCACCCTTTGTTCCAAGAACATACACAGAAAGTGGTAATACTGCTAGGCTGGGCAGATCAGCTTGGAGCTCAGGCTGTCACAGGTCCCTGTCTGGCTCTCTGTGGCTGGTAAGTCTTGGCTTAGGTGGCTTCAGGTCCTGTATCAGACAGAGCTTTGGGATTGTAAAGATGCCGCCCTGAAGGATTGCATGCAGTGGATGGGAAACTGTTCCCAACTACCACACATCCCTGTATGGATGTGTGCAGCACCCCACTGCCATTTCTCTTTGAAGCCTGTGTTGGGGGGCACAGGGCCTGTGTAGCCTCCTCTTGGCTCACAACCCCCATCTGAATCATTGGGGAAAGGAGGCCATTGTTTCTTTGGGGCCCACCTGCCTTTATCTTTTATCATCTCCTCTTGGACATTTGGAATTGTGTTTGTTATAGGGGCCCCTGGAGCATGAACTCTTCATCTCTGTTTGGGTTCTTGGAAAGTTCTGTTGGGAATCAGCTGGCAAGGAAAGCTGCCAGGATTCCTGAGACACCCTTTGCTTACCAGAGGCCCTGGGGAAGGCAGTGCCTCAGCCCTTCCCTCATTTCTATCTAGTCCCACCTGACAGGCCCTGAGTTCAATGATGGATCAGTCAGTCCTGGTCCAAGGCCAGGCAGGGGAAGTTTGGCTATGACCTGACCACAGTAACAGGGATGTTGGAAGCCTTAAATGTCCTTCCCTCACTTTGACATTAGAAGAGAGATTTCATGGAAAAGAAGTGAGGCTTACCTTGTTTCTTGAATTCAGACTATTCTTGAAACATAAAACAGGTCATTTCAAAAGGCACATGGTGTAGGCGATAAGTGTGGGCTAGCAGTTCTAAACTCCAGTCCTGGCTTGGCCTCTGAGGAATGTGTTGATCAGCTTTCCCATCATTGTGACAAAACACCTGAGATAACAACTAATAAGGAAGAAAAGTTTATTTTGGCTCATGGTTTCAGTCTGTGGTAAGGTGTTTGTACTCCATA